GTAAGAGCTGAGGATGGCATCTTTATTCACCGCTGACTTTTAAACAAGCACAGTGAGACAGGCAGGATGTTCTTTCTGTCACACCGTCAGGATTTGATGGGAAATTCATTTTCACAACAACCCTCTCTTCCAGTTTCTCTCTATGTGAGGGATACTACAGAGGAGAGTCAAATCAAACAGGATTGGTATGGACATGAAAAACTCGAAATGTTTGGAAAAGTACTGACGACTTAGATCAAAGAAGTAATTTAGATGTTAAGCGTTTAAAAAGTACTACTGGCCCCTAAAGTGACAAATTTGGCTCTATTATGTGCATTTGGGATGGCTCCTTACCCTAAGGAAATGACTGTGTCCATTATAATCAAAGCAGAGACATCATTGATTAGAGACATAACACACAGATTTGAGAATAAGCCAGCTAATTACACGAGCATAAACTCTATGAACAATTCATCACCTAAAGAAAAAACAAATACAGATATTGAGAAAATTTCAATCACTAATATTCAATTTTCAATGCACGTGGCAAATTTGTGTTTGGCAAAAGAAGTTTGAAGTAATCCAGAAGGATGTTGGGATGTTGACGCAGCATAAAGCAGTTACTTCATGTGTTGAAAACTGAAGATGATGCCGAGGTGCGTAATCCTGTAGTTCGTCGAGTGTCTGCTTCAGACTGGCTGTGGAAGCACCGGAAGTCGCATTCACACATTAAAAACAACTTTTTGCAGCAGAAATTAACACGTTGACAGCCTGGTTTACACAAAGAAATTGGTCTAATTAGTTCTTCCCCAGCACATTTGGATAACAGGTTGGTGCAATGTAACGGTTTGTCAAGAGGCTTAAAACCCTCAGCTCCAGCTCTCAGCCTGTTGTTAGGCTGACTGAAAGTTAGGGTGAGACAGCATTTCCAGCAGAGCGACCGTCGTTCATGGGACTTCAAAGCCCTCGGCAGTAACATACGGGTGAAGTCACTCAGACTTCATCCATTTATATTTACAGTCTATCTACAAAACACGTTACTTTGTAATTCATTACCCCTAACAGTATTCAAAATTGGCTAAAAATGTCTCACTGGAGCTTTAAAGGGTGATCAAAATAAATCATTAAGTCATTTACTTTAACTTTTTGCAGTTCATAGGGCAAGTCGGTGTTGAGAAGATTTTCCACAAACCAAGAAATTGACCTAAAAAGCAGGCTATGGCTGCTCATGGACTCATTGTTGACCATGTCAGCTGTTACAGGCCTCACTAAAGCTGGTGGTCATGACAGCTGCTTCTCTATGCTGCAGCAGCAAAGCAGAAGTACCATGGTTACCTTGATAAAGAAGAACATAGAAAAAGAGCAGCACGTTTTTTTTTAAATGGAGAAGGACACAGTCAAAGATGAGCTGGATGATACGATGCATGCCCACTCTACAGTTTTACAGTTTCTATTCTCTACTCGTGTGAAATCAATAAATTACAGTCAATCTTGGAACCTGTCAGATGACAAAGCAATTGTCAATTTTAGAGGCTTCCAGTGTATCAAGCTGTTAGCAATAAGGACGTCTGGGCATGACTTCCCTTTGTTCACTGCCTGACCAGCAACATGGGAGGCAAGAATTGAGTTGATGCTAAGAGAACAGGTCAAAGAACAGATTGATAGCTGGATTTGTATGCAGAAATCTTTTTAAATACATCAATTCAAGTTCAATTGAGATAATATGACATTTGATGGGCCCTGAGCTGGCGAGTTAAACTTTTACGATAAACAGAAAACTGATCCCAGGATCTGGTCCTGCACCTACAAATTCAGCATTTTCTTTTTTTTTTGCAGAATCTATAGATAGAGAATCATTTATTATTATTTAATCAACAAACATGATTAAACCTTTTTTTTATGGAGTTTCTTCCCTCCAGTTTAGTCCCAAAGACTTTCAGAATGGAGGCAGAGCAGCGGTATTGCTTTTCCGTTGACTTGTGGCAACTTCTTTTTCTTCTGTCGCCCGTCTGTATGTTTGAGCTCTTTTTCTTCACCCTGTCTTGAGCTCGACTCTGACTACAGGTGACAGTGCTGAAACAGACCATGAGAACGAGTTGTATCCTGGCTCGGCTCATTCTGAGAAGATTAACTGGGATTACATTTATTTGCATTAGATTTCATTTGACTCTGCCTTTTTGGATGTTATGTACTTGAGTAAAGCCAATTGTCAGTGTGGTTTGGATTAGTTAGGCTGGCTTGTGAGATGCTGGAGTTGTGTTAGATTTGCCCTAGATTAGATTTGTTTGATTAGTGCTGTAGTCGGGGTTTACTGGGGTTTCGATTGGATTCAGAACAGAGAAGAGAGAAGGCGGCTTGAGGCTGTATTTTACTTTGTATTTTACTCTAGTTTAAGCACAGTTTATGTCAATGCTTTGTATTTAGTCTAATATGGAGGTGGAATAACAAACATGCCGTCACGCATTAACTGTTATTTTCTTCCTTTTCAGCCAACAAATACATTATGAAAATGTATAGAAGTTACACAGCTTGGGGATGACATCTTAAAGACAAGAGACTTCTGGCAATTACAATGAGAAATAGAACGAGGGAGAAACAGGCTAAAAGGGATTATTAGATGTATTGTATTGTGTGTGTGTGTGTGTGTGTGTGTGTGTGTGTGTGTGTGTGTGTGTGCGTGTGCGTGCGTGCGTGCGCACTCAAGCCCAAAATGCTTCTGTATGAGCGCACACACACCCTCACAATGACACATGCATGCAAACTGTCAATCAGCCCTTTATTAACCAGTTTATTCCCACTTCACTGCAAGTTAGGGAAATCCAATTATCAGTGTACAAGCAGTACAACTTCAGAGGAAGTAGAAGCAGGAAAAATAATTTTCCCCAAAATATGCTTCATAAATTAGCTGTCATCCTTCATCAAATTATACTGTCAACAGCATTTTCTCTATGCACAACAGACACACACACACACACACACACACACACACACACACACACACACACACACACACACACACACACATTATGCACACTTGCTACTCTTCCATGTTCAGTATTTTTCCCATACTGATCTCATCTATCACATCTAGTGATGGCATTTGAGAGATAAACGGAGCAGTACATGGGAATCATATTCTGCCACCAGTGACAACACTAATTTAGATGGGGGCCGTAATTGTTTTAACCCCTTCCTCACCTCTTACGCAGATTCTGTCCTTTTAGAATCTTTTATTGCCTCTCTTTTACTTAAACACATACTGCACACACGCACACACACACACACACACACACACACACACACACACACACACACACACACAATATTTAAAGGGATACTTCACCCATTTGCATTAAGCTTTGTATCATTAGAAACCTGGTAGTATTTTTGAATGGTCGTGCATTCCGCCCTTATCTTCCCCTGAGATGGGAAATCTTTGTATTTCTAAGTCTGAAAAGGAGCTTCCAGTGACGCAAAATGATGATTTTCTCACTCACTCAAAAAGGCGGTTGCTAACAAGTGGCTAAATGTAACTACAGTGGTTGTCGGGGACATTAAACGTCATCACGCCAGACACGGAGGCCGGGAACTCTCTCACTAGTCTGTGATGTCTCCTGTAAGTTTAATCTTTAGGTTAAGTCAAATATCATGTTAGTAAACAATTGATTTAACTACGCGGATTAGTTTATCGGAGATCATCTGAAGCATAGCGGTAGTGACGTCACAATCATCCGACCGTGGTGTAGTTCACTTGTAGCATAACGTTAGCTTTTTACTTCTGTCTGCCGCATTAATGCTTCAAACATCATAATGGTGTTCATCTGTGAAGATCATCCTGCTGAACGAAACGCCTACGCTTCAGAAACGTGCGTTTGCCACAGAGCTTAATTCTGCAATGATCCAAAATCCAATGCAAAAATCCCATAGGCGAATTCTCGTTAGACCCCATGGCGATGCTACTTCCGGGTTGGCCTGCAAAACTACATCATATGATTTGTTCTCTATTAATAAGAGGTGTCACTGACTCCAGTGATCGCGATATGTAAAAATTGGGGCTATCTAACGTAGGCTTCCGGTGGAAATTACCCATGAAAACACAAATACTTCATTACGGGGATTAAGTGGTTCCAAATTAGTGGTTTAAGAAGGCAGTATAATAATGACAAAGAAGTGAGCCAGCCACTGTGTAGTACTACAAACACACACTTAAACACACTCTTTTACAAAGAAATAAATAGAGCACAGAACTTGGATTAGACCCCAATGACTTTATGTTGCAGTGCTGTTAAACCGCTTGTTTGTTTTGTCATATTTGTTTATGGATTTTTATTTGAATGGTTAACCTTTACAATGCAGCAGCAGCAAGAGGAGATTTGATTTTTCTCTCTTCTTTCTTGCTTCCACTTCACATGCTCGTGTCTCTCTAAAAAATATAACAGTATCATTAATGTAGCACTGCTCTGAAATGCAGGTATCTCGATTAAATACTCAAATCTGTCTAAATGCATGTATACAATAGACAATAAGGAGTCCTTCACTTATCCAAAATGTGATGATAACTCACAATTTTTAGACATTGTCCCCATGGGGAAATTATTTTTAACAGTCTGGTTTCTGTGCAGCGGACAATTCCCACCAAAGAACAGTATAAACACAAAACAAAGTATACACTACTAGACACTTAAATGGGATGTTGTGTGGACTCAAATAGAGTCGGGTCTATTAGGGGTGGGAATCACCAGAGTCTCCAAGATACGATATCATCGCGATACTCGATACACGATGTGATTCTATTGCGATATTTAACATTTTGCAATATGCTAACAATTGCGATACAATATATTGCGGTTAAGCTTTTTAACTGAATATTATGTCCACTACATTAAACTAATTCAAGAACTGTTTTGTCAAATAAGAAAAAAACTCAGTCTGTTCCTCTCACTTCAGTCTTTTTATTTGTAATTCAGTCTAATTGAACTTTAACAGGAATTTTTAACAATGCAACTTGTTCAACATGAATT